GGGGGGGGGAGCTGCTTTAAAACACAAACCATCTTTACATTTAAGGAGTAGATGAAAGAGTTAAACGTTTCCATTTTTTTTCTTTTCTGTGTGAGTGTTTACTTTCATGCAAAAAGAAAAGCCAAACTGGGCATTAGGTGTGTAGTGGTGGATTATTGGAGGTACATGTTTCCTGTCATTACCTGTCAATGATGACCGGATCAGAGGGCGTCTCATTGCGATTGCCACAACTTTTCTTCTCACAGCAGCGGCTGGGTGGGTGGTTGAAAGAAAGAGAGAAAAAAAGTCAGAAAATGAAACCAAACCGGCCATTATTTGTCTGGCCCATCAGCATCAACAGCCCCAGACAACGCTTCTCTGCGGTCGGCCAAAATCCAGAAACACACAAAGGAGGCATGAGAGGGGAGGGGAAGAAGAGACAAAAGAAGAAAAGAGGAAGAAAAGGTACAACAACACACCCTACAAACAGTGAGAGACCATTCAAAAGTGAAAAGCCAGCCAGGCAATCTGTCACATTGATTCTGAAATCAAACTCAACCCCCATGCAGCTCCACTGCACGCACACACACACACACACACACACACACACCCTATCCCACAGCATCCTACCATTCGTCAGCGGTTCTGTCCGAGGAGCCTGCTGGCCAGCCCCCCTCCTGCCCCCCAACACACCTCCCTGTCCCCTTCACTGCATAACAAAAGTGCCCCCACCCCTAACCATCTGCCACCCCTACACCTCGCCTCAGCCCTCCCGTGTCCCATCTTGGCCCTGCCCTTCCCCCCGCCGCCCCCCTGTCAGACGGCCTCACTCCCCAGCTGTGACGCTTGCCCTCTGCCTCCTCGGCTCTGTTATTAGCCAGCTGTGAGTCACATTCGGGCATCTGCTGGCCACACAATGGCAGAGCCCGGTCCGTCTCAGTTCCTCTCTGCGTGTCCCAGGACCGCATCCTTTACCTCTCTGAGTCCCAGGTCAGTGCCCCACTTCCAGACCACACTCCCCATCCATAACCCATCCCTTTCACTTGTCCTCTTCCTTCACCTCATAACAATAAAATCGCCTTGGTCCTTATTCAGATTCAAGTTTTAAATGCTAGTAAATCAGCGCTTTAACACTGCTTGCCGGAGTACTCTTGTCACACCATGTTCACACATGCCATCTTAGCTAAAATATAACAGCGGGAGTTATAGTTCAATGAGCAAAGAGAGGAAACTGTTGCCCATTAATTGCCTGGTGCTGGTAGCTGAGTTCTGCCTGCAAAAAAATCCCGGGTCAGAAAGAGAGGGGGCCCAAGAAGAAACAGGAGCTGGACCAGCGACCTGCTGCGATACAGCGGAAAGCAGCAGGGGGTCAGCGCTGTAACAAGGATGATGACAGGCAGGGTAGACTTATAGTTTAACAACACCCCCGTTTTTAAGGGGAAAAAAGAGTCCCAAAAGCACATTTCATCGATGCTGGGAAAATCAGAGTGTAACAGAATAATGGATGTTTGGATTTAGTCCCGTTGAGCAAAAAATTTCAATCACTGTATGTCACTCACCTGCACATAACCTCATGCGTGAGCAGAACTCTGCACATTTCTGGGTTCTTGTTCTGTCCCTCGTACGAAATGGGCTGTGAGGAGGAAATAAAGACCAGCGGGCCGGATTCAGTTTCATGTGGGAAAGCTAAACTAATTTCTTTAGGATGAATTGGAATCCTTTCAGGAAGATTTAAAGAAAGTCTGCTGACCTGTTTGGTGACGGAGTCGATAAGACGCGCGTAAAGATCTTGCTCCGTACGAACCCCTGTGAGAAAGAAAAGACAGGATGTGGATCTCATCAATAACATTGCAACTTGTTCGGAGCAGGAGGAAAAGGGAGAATTGCTACGCACGCGGGCAATTTTCGTTTGATAAATCGAGACCCATCAAGTCTGGATATATTTTTAAAAATCACATCAATACCACAGTATGTCAGGGGCAGTCCTGAAATTCTCAAGAATGCTCTCAACACCCACTGAACGCTAAAAATAAAGTAACCAGATTTATGGGATACATTATTCTTTTTCAACCTCCCGACAGTCTCACACACACACACAAAAAAAAAGTATTGAATTCAGTCCAGACAACTGAGGAGAACAAGCATGGTGTGCAATCATATTTTTTCTGCAATGGTTTCTGAGGGAATTGAGTCATTTGATGTTTGATAAACATTTCTCATGTCCTACTTTAGGGCTGTAATTTACAGGATTCTCACGGATTTCCTAGGATGTGCTCTTTAGGGTTGTTTCTGTGTTGGCTTTGGGCTGGAAGTTGAGATGATTGACAAAGAGTTATAAAACAATACAGAAAGTATTCATAGTCCTTGAGCTTTTTCACATTTTGCTACAGAAAGAGCAGAAACTCTAATCCTTTGAAGGGGATGCTGCAGCTTTACCAACTCAAACAAGGAAGGAGAGAAAAACAAAACAATACAAGGATTTAAAAGTTTGTTGGATTTTTTTACACATAGAGATTTTTTTTTTCAGTCAAATGGATTTAGGTCAGAACTTTGACTAGGCAATGCTAACACGTGAATGTGCTTTAATTTAAACTATTGCATTGTCACTCTGGCTGTAAGCTCAGCGTCTTTGTCCAGCTGGTGAATCAGGTTTTTTTTTATTTTTTTTTATTTCAGTCTCTGCCGTGGATTTGGCTCCATCTAGCTTCCGTTAAACCCTGGCCAGCTTTCCCACAGCATGATGTTGCCACCGCCATGCTTGAAAGTGGGCATGGTGATGTTCAGGTGTAATTTTCTTCTCATTTGACCCGAGCTTCTCGTTTCACATGTTTGCTGGGTCCATCGAATCTCTTGAGGCAATCAGTAAAACTAGACTTCTTATGGCTTTCTTTCAACAGAGACCTTCCTCTTGCCTCTCTTTCGTAAAGGTTCATTGGTCTTCATGATGCAGTCAGTCTCCTGAGGTCTCCACAGAAAAGCTGAATTCAATGACTTCTTGAATATAGAACTGGGTTTTATTTGAGGATATTTGAGTAAAGAGGGGCATTTACAAATGTACACCACAGTTTTCTGGGGTTTTCAAATCAAATGGTGTCACTTTCCTTCACTTCACAATCATTTGCTACTTTGCCTTGGTCCACCTGAATAAAATTCCTTGATGCTTCTGGTGGCAAATTGACAAAATCTGAAAAGGTTCATAGCACCTATCTGCAACTGCGACGACATTTAGAAACTTTAAGTTCAAAGCGCAGAATGGAAAGAAACACCGTTTAATGATTCGCTGCATGAGAGAAGACAGTCGCTGTTCATGTATTTTCTCTACAGAGGCTTTTGAGAGTATTGCTTTTAAAAATGTGTTCCTCTCATCAAAGTCTCGATTGAGATGCCTTTGATATCGCTTCGTGGGAGAAGGGGAGGGGGTGGAGGGCATTCAGAGGAAGTGCTCTTGGCGTGCTTGCGTGTACATGCGGTGCGTTCATCTCTGCGTGAAGGGGGCTTCTCCAGAACTCGTCTTTTATCTTCTCTCCCATGGGTGCCACTGGGATGGCAGAGCAGGGGCAGCGGTGACTCAGGGGAACCACAATTTTCTGTGCATCCCCTGATCTGATGTGAAGGAACTGCCGGGGCAGAGGGTGGGGGTTCGGATGGGGTGGCAACATTTATCTCATTTTCCTCTACTGGAGCCCAGAGGTAGCTGCTTGGAGGGCTTTCAAATCTTAGAAAAGGCAGATCAGGCAATGAGCTGCAAAGGGATTGGGGGTGTGGCGGAGAGGTGTGTGTCCCTCAAAACTCTTACGACTCCTGGTAGTGAGTCTAATATAACTTGTTATGGCAAAATTAAATCAAAATACAGTTTGTTTGTTTTTTTGTCAACTCACCGTTACTGTAGAGGAGCTGTAGCTTGTAGTGTGTGCCGTTATTTGTCTTTTCTCCTGTCTGCTCCTTGAAAAGAGGGGAAAAAACACACAGAGGGAAGCACAATGCATGCCGATAAGTACACTGGGTTAGAGACATCTGCACATGGGCATCAGAGTTAAGCACCAAATGTATTAACATGCTGGAGTTTGCTCTTCTCCATGGAGCATCTTCCAGGTCAGAACAGTAAGCTCAAAGCTCATCATGCATATAAGCTGAGCACTTAACCTTCAGCTCGGGGCTCACTGTAGAGACAGGAACCATCATCTCTGATACAAGGGTCCTGAAACGGAGAGATCTGACCAAACGGTCGTTTCTGCTGCAAAGCAGGGGGAACATTTGTACAAGCTCGTGTGTATGTGCAGGAGGAAAATTGTGTTCTCCCCCCCTGCTGTGTGTGTGTGTGAGCCCGAGCACCAGCGGACCTTGACATAAAAAACTTCTTTTCCACCATCCCTCCTTCACCCAAGCTCTCACTTCTTCCCTGTTTGGCTCTTGTTCCGCCTCTTTCTTTCTCATCCTCTACCTCCACTGGTCTTTCTAAGTGGTCTCAAAGGAATGCTCTCTGGTCCAATAACCCAGGAGGGCCTGCATCTCGCAGAGATGAGCTCAGGAAAGGAGGAGAGCAAAAGGGGAGCGAAAAAAAAAAAGACACAGGCAAAACGAGGTGGTTGTAAAAGAGAAAAGGGGGGGAAGAAGAAAGTGCAGGAATTAAGATGCATGAAGACAAACTCAGAGCCTAATATGAGGAGTGAGACGGCGACACAACAGGTGATAGATGGATGCCTGGCTTCATAAAGTCTTTGCAAATGCACTCAGAGGAGCATTTATTTTGCCATGCCATCGCTTTACTGCTGCATAATTGCGAGGCAAAAACAGATGCCAGGGTAACCATGCAGAAAATGAACTTCTCCCCTGTCATCATGTGAGTCGGCGCTGGCCTGTGTGGCACGACGAGCAGCACAGTGACAGCTTTCAGACCTGGCATTAGCACCGCTGCCAGCGTGAATGACAGCGCAAATATGTTTCGGCCTCACGTGGCAGGAAGGTGTCCCCCTTTCTACTCCTCTCAGGACGGAGCTGCAGGAGGTCCACTGCCCTCCACACAAAACACGAACATCCGTCGGACGTGGTCAGAAGGATCGCTCCTTCACATCCAACTCTGAAGCTCTTTCCTCATTTCACTCGTGTCCAAACCGAGAACATTTCAGACTCAACAACAAGCCTTTCCACTGAAGCACGGGGGGGGGGCTCCAACGAAAAGACACTTTGATGATTAGTTCACTGTATATCTTAACAGCAGCAAGCATGATTTGCATTTTAAAAAGTGGTGATATCCTCCTAATGAGGCGAGCTGCTAATTAGTCATTAGTTATTCTTTTTCAATCCCCCATCATCAGCTCATTGAGGGTGAAGCTCGTGTAAACATGTAGCCGTCAGCTGTTCGATATGTTTGGCTGTACTCAGGATGGGGAAGATTAGGTAGAGCACCTGGTTAAAGTGAAATATTGTCTGATTTTAGATGCATTACTTTATGTTTTGTTTTATTTTATTTTATTTTATTTTTTTTTTTTTTTTGCACTGTGTGTTTCTCTTCAAAGGAAGTGTTGGGATGAAAAAAATTTGGTTTTGAATTGATGTCACCCTGAGACAGTTTATCAAGACAGAAAGGCATTCACCTTCTCGTGCTCAACAAAGTCCACAAACGCCGTCCTCTCCACCTCCACAGGTTGGCCGTGTCTGTCATAGAGGGCCAGGACAAAGTGGAAAAAGTTGGACTTGCGAAGATTGGAAGGCGGCTGCTTCTCAAAGTGAGCTCTTGACAGGGCCACTCCACTGAGGACACAACAGGAAGAGACACATTCAGCTCTCAGGAATCATTGTGTCTAGTTTAACTCTTTGTTTGTGAGGCTGCTGCATTCTCCTTCAAATTAGAATGTGGAAAATGAATAAAAACTGGAAACACAATTCTGAGAAATATTGGAGTTTTTTGTTTAAAGATGTTTCAGATATTCTGAAAAAAAAATTGAGAGATAAAAAGTTTAGCTTTTTAGTGTTTATTTTTCTTTCTTTTTATTTTTAAGTCAAAAACCTGTCTTTAATAAATAAATTATAAACCTATACAGACAAACCTTGTATAGTCTGATTCATTGCAAAAATGTAAAGTCACATTATTTCAGCTCATGCTCCTGTTTTGAAAAAAATATCCTTCATTTGGACTTAAATGTTACAATTAAAGGCATTGACAAACAACACTAATTTAACATAATATAGATTGAAAATAAAACGTAATATGAACGAAACAAAAGACACTTTTGACCTGGAGGAGCACCTTATTAAAATCCAAAACATGAGGAATTAATTTTAAAAAAAAGTGAAGGTTTTGAACATATCTCATGTTTGTCTCCATTCAGACATGCAACATTTATTTAAGTTCGGTTTTGAAATGGTCCATTTACTTTTTTTTTATCTTATAGTTCTTTTCTTTGAGGAGAAGGTTGCTTCATGTAAAATAAGTAAATATGAATTAAAATCATCCTTGACAATTCTCTTTATTGATAATGAGTTAAGCATTGCGCCTGTTTTAATAATATTTTTAGCTTAACAAAAATCAAATTTATTGCGCTGAATTGAACAAAACAAATCAACTTCTATAATATCGTTAAATAAAGCTACAGCTTTACTTCTTCGCTGATCGTTTTCTTAAAAATAAAGCTACGCTAGTTTGACTTTTTGCGACGTAACTTTGCTCTCAGTTGGAAAACAAAAAAATGTGCGACAGAATAATAAGAAAATGTTTTAATCTCACTGTCTGCTGCGATAAAATTAACTTTGCTCTTTTCGAAAAGTTTTAAATTGCTTAAGCGGTAAAAACGGGTTTTTGGATTAAAATAATTGAGCGAAATTGAGAAAACTGTGGAGTATAAATTAAGTTTAAATTTTAATTCAATACATAAAAGTCTGATTGTTTTTTTGTTTGTTTTTTTCTTTGCCTTAAAACTTTTGCGATAATTGTACAGTTTTCATCCAAACTTGAACGTTTTGGACAGGAAAAACCCTGTTGCGCATCAAAAACAAAAAACCAAATTTCAACCCTAAATCTAATTTACAACATCATCTCTCGTTGTGTCCTCTCTAAAGAGTTTATTTGTCATCATGTGAGCCGTTGTTTTCATATTTTACAGCGAGTGTTTCCTGTAATTTTCTGACTCTATTCTCACATCTACACTCCTAACAAGCCATAAATTAAATTCTGCACAGTTCTGAGAGGCAAGCGTAGCGGGGGAAAGTTGAGTTTCGCACTTTACCTTTGCGCTGCAACGTTCGCATCCACAACTCCAACATTACGCACCCACGACCGGACTGGATCCATCTCCTCTCCAAGAGTTCTCTCTTTTAATCCGCTCACGTCTCGTATTAGCTGCTCCTGGATCCCAAACATTTAAAACCCTGTCCTGGTCGCTTGGATGACTTTTTGAAAGTCTGTTATGATTTGGTTCGGAACCGACAAGATGTTCCTGGACAAGTTGAAGCACTTCAGTAACGAACAGAGGGTCCACTTCAGGGCGCCGCGCTCCCTCAAAAGCGCCGCAAAAGAAGCTTCCAGTTAGCTTTTTTGGGGGGGGGATTGGGGGGGTGGAGAGAAATAAATAAATGTCTGGTGCTGTGTTATGACTCTTAACGGAGCTCAGTAGAAATCCGCACGGACTTTCTTTCATTCAAGGCTCAAAAGATGAATGTAGATATATGTCTCCACAGATTACATTCATTGTCCGAGCGCACATCTCGAGCAGGAGTGGGAGCGCAGCGGATCATCTGCTCCAACAGAGAGGATCAGACGGGGATGGAGATGTACTTTAAAAAAAAAAAAAAAAAAAAAAAAAAAAAAAAGTAGATCTGCGCGCAGAAAGTCTTCCTTTGTCACAAGGCCGGGTTGGATCAAAAACAGCTGATCCCGAGGCCAGTAGGCTTGGAGTGAGCCGCTGTCCTGGAGCATGAATGAGACCCTCCGCCGGGATGGAGCGTGGAGGAGGGGCCAAGTGCCATATGGGGGACCGATTGTTGAAATGGATGCTCTCATTGGTGTAAAGTGCATCCGTTGTTTGGACCGCTGCCAGATTCACTATCCAACCGGTGACTCTCAGAGCAAACTTTCACACAACAGTTCAACCAGGTTTGACTCTTTCTTATTTTTATTTATTTATGTTTGGGGTTTTTTTTTTTTTTTTAAAGCAAACTGTCAACGTTTGCATCATAGACACTTTTATATTTGGACAGAATAACTAACATTGAGATTATAATATTTATTCTGTGTTCAGCTATCACAGAAAAAACTCTGAGTATAGCTTTGCTTCAAAAAGCAAAATAAAATGTTAGCAAATTGTTGAGTGCCTGCATGTTTATTATTATTATTATTATTATTATTATTATTATTATTATTATTATTATTATTATTATTATTATTATTTAAGTAGCTTTGTGACATTTCAGATAAAAGTTCCGGCACCAATGTTGCACTAAAAAAACAATCTGTAAGAATTAAGACAATAAAATCATTGTAAGCATTTTATAAAGTTTAATTTAAGCAGTTTGTCAACGTTTTGAGTCTATCATGATAAGGTGGGTAAAGCTTCATTGACAACATCAATCAACATTTAATAATAGCTCTTGCTAGCAAGCAGCATTTCCAAACTTGTCCCTATTTCTAAACAAGTATTCAGATCCCTCTTTTAAATTTATTTCAAAGAAGTGACCGGCAACAAATCTTATGACATTTCCTGGTATTATTGGAGGCTTCTGATGTGAAGATAACAATCATTATCTCAAAAAGAATGACTTGGGACATTTGTACATCCCTCAGATGTCCCAAAGTGCTCACATGTGACCAAGTTCTCACACAGCAGTCCTTCCCAGTTGCATCCAGAGCAGGAAATGTTCACCCTGATCAGTGAGGCGGCTTTAATTTCTGTCTGTTGTTCATATTTCCAAACAATAGGGAGTGGGCGCCCCCCAGAGTTGTGCACATGGTTAAAAAATGAAGACAAAATTGGAGCAAAAAATGCTAAAGTTGGTTTCTGATTCAAAGCTGTAATTTAAATGAATTATTTGTTTGTTTGTTTGATTGATTGTTTTCAAGAATCTGGAAAGCATTTCACCATCTCTGGTCAAAAGTGGAAATAATTAAGCTGATTAGATCATAATTGGATCATTTTACTGATTTATAATAGAGCTTGAGATTCATGAAACCTTAAAAGAAAACAAAAACACTTATCAAAGTTTTCTGAAATTGGGCAGAACAAGTTTGATTGGTCAAAGTACCGTAGTGACTTTCGAAACTTTTGTTCTGCACATCACTTAAGTTTACCGTTTGCACTGTTGCAAAGACAGTTAAAGCTGAATTCAAACTATTTAGATTAAGTTTAATAATCTTGGATGGACGTTTTTTTCCCAGAAAAACCCTCATCATTAGCAACAAGTTCCTCCTGGAAGAAGAAGTTTGGCTTCCATGGTGTTTAACTTGATAGCACTTTGGGTATAGCTATTCTTGTAATTCCATTAAAAAAAAAAAGTCTCTAATGAATTAAACCAATATTGAACATCACATTAACAAAGTGATGTTTCAATAAAAATGTAAATAGATTTAATGGCTAACATTCAACACCCTTCAAAACTCATTTTTTACAGTGCAGCATCCTTTACAGCTAAAGAAAATCCTGTTTGGTCTTTTCATTCAAGTCAGCGTTTAACACAAGTGCGCTCTCGACAGGGGCGCGTCTTTTAGCAGCTCCACCGTCTGGTCCTTTGAACGCTGTGATTTCACTGAGGACACATCGCATCAGTGTCAGGAGAAACAATGGCCGTCTGGTTGCTCCATCAATCTGCAGCAGCAGCGGTCAGGGCTGCGCTCCCATTGGCGTTGGTTCCCCTGCCTGACAGAGCCCGAAATGAGTTCTTAATCAGCGCTGGGCACTCAGACGTGTCCATCTCAAACGTGTGAACTTTTGTAAATTTAACTTTGCTTTTGAATCTGATGGGACTTTCGTATTACAACTATTTTACTTTGTGAAGCCAAAATAAATAAATAAATAAATAAATAAATTCTGTTTGTTGAAGTAAAAAAAAAAAAAACTTTTACGTTTTATATATTTTGACAGTTTAGCTGATCTACACTTTTTGGGTTCACCAGAAAGAACATTTTGCATATGTTGGACGGATTTGCAGCTGAAATTAATTTCCTCTTCCACTGGCTTGCTCATAAAAAGACTTTTTTTTTTTTTTTTTTCTTGAATCCTGGTTCCTTGCCCCTTACCGGGACTATTGTCTCTATGTGGGGTTTGTAAGCCCGGACAATGAATGTAAATCTCCCCCCTTGGATCCCGCCTCAGCCCACCATCTGCCAGCGCGGGACAAAGTCAGATGTTCTCCCAATTATAAGCGCAGTCTCGGGGAATCCTGTGGACCAGACTCCAGCCCTGTCGCCTTGTCCCTCAGCACACCTCTCTGCTTGTGTGACTGACAGCCACACTTAACCCCAAAACCGTGAAAAATCTGCACATGATGACAAATCATAGAAATTCCGGCACTGCGTACTAAAATAAGAGCAATATAGGTCGGAAATGTACTTCATTTTTGGGTTTTGTAAGTCATTGGGTCAGAAACCTTTATTTGCTATATTGCAAAAAAAAAAAAAGATTTTATTTATATTATATACTTGCACAAAATTCATTATTGTATTAAAATTAAAGCAATACTAAAAGCAGACTTAAGTAAGGTTTATTAAATGTGAGCTGAAATCTTTGTCAAGGATCTAATTGGAATGAATATAAAATCTGTTGTGAATCTTGATTTAATATTTCTGTAAATGAATGGTATCTTTTTCTTTGCCCTGTCATTTGTTTGTGAAAGATTGAGATATAAAAAAAGATTTATTTTAATTCAATGGGCCTCAGTTAAACCTCAGTTAGAGATGCAGATAAATCACTTCATAAAAACAAAATTATGGATCAAATAACAGTGTTCATGTAGGAGTAGCTGTGTTTCTTTGGGAGATAAAACCAGATCATGTGCAGTGTTAAAAATGTTAGGAAGACAAAACAGGGCCTGACTGGATCAAGCAGTAACCTGAAGGCCCCAAAATAATGTTGTTGATTTCCTTTTATTAACAGATGTCTTTCAAACATGTTTTAAAAAATAATCTACAGGTAAGTATTACATTTGTTGGATTTTCCTGTAGAAAATTAATGCAACTGTTTGCAAAGGAAGATGTGTGACCTCTAACACAAACTGATAGAAAATAGTATGCTTCTTCTGTGCTTTTTTATGATTTCAGTGATTACCCATAACTTCTTGGGTCACTTTTCTACAGATGAATGAACTCCAAAGTACTAATGTTGTGTCTAACATAGCAAAGTATTTTTGTAGGGCAAGACTTATTTTATGATTCTCTGTAAAAAGAAAAAAAAAAACTTGCATGTCTTAAAGTGGTTCTATTGCTTAGTGAAAACCTTGGCTAAAAGAATCAATGCCCAATTCATTACATTTCCTGCTTCTTATGGCTAAAACTGCTGAGATAGTTTATTAAATATGTGTGTTTCTCCTGTGGGGTCAACGGCCTCTGAGTTCGTGAAACCCATCTTCAGTGGCAGATGCATATTTAGTTTCTTAACATCAAAAGGCACAACATGTTTGATAGGCAGACAACAGAGACTGATGATGTCACACTGTCTTGTGTTGTGAATGGCTTTTCTATGGTGTTGCAAAGTGAAGATATGAATAAAAATGTTGGCTTTATCCGTTTATAATCCAGCACTATGCAGTTTGCCAACTAAGAGTGAAAAGCAACTTTGTAGAAAAGGCAAATTACAATGATTTTTTTTTCTTTTTGTATTTTATTGTAGACAAATCCTAAAAACCTTTTAAGTTGATGTGTACATAACTAATAATCTGTTGCAATTTGTTTGGGCAGGGTACCAAAATTGTCTCCGGTCCAGGGACACCAACCCCCCTCAATCTGACCCTGACAATAAAGTTGTTGGAGCTGACACCAGAGTTCTGCTCAGGTCTCCATTTTGGTCCATCTGACTCGACAGAACCTGCTGACTGAATGTGTAGGATTTTTTTTTTTCTTATTTCCTAAAGCACGGAGAGACAAGCAAAAACTGGAGAGTAGACTAAGCCACAAACGTCTTTTTAATCAATTTCCCCCCACTGAGACGATCAGTCTGTGTGTTTTGGAGAAGCTGTGGGTGTGGATGGGGTGAGAGGGGGAACCGGAGGGGGATCAGTGACTGCTAAGCTAAACAATGGGGTATCGTGTGCCGCTCGTCCTCTCCAGCATTCCCCTGCTCCCACGGGACACGCAGAGTCACTTTGTGTGGATGGCGCTGTGACCACGGAGGTCAGGAGGGGGCGTGGCGTGCTCGTGCACGTGCATGTGCATGTGGGCGCGCGGCGATGTGTGTGCTGGGGAGTATGTGGAGACGCAGCAGCTGGTTTCCGTCTCTCCTCTGCGTTGTGCAAAAAAAAA